TTGATGCTTTTTTTAGTAAAGAAGCTAAACATGTAAGAGTTTTCATTTTACTTGCATTTTTACCCAAACATTCATTTTATTTTCTCATGTTCTGAATCTACATGAATTTTTTTATCTGACTTTAAAACATTACCGTAGGATTGGAGAAAATACTGAATCCTATATTTATAGTTAACTTGTAGATCTTTCTCATAACAATTCATATACTTCTCTGTCACATTTTGTCAGTATATTAGTTACTCCCTGAATCTTAGCCAGAGAGGCACATCAGCCCATCTTACCAGTATACTGGTAACCAAAAATCTTATTGAAAGTATAATTTTGTATTAAAAATGTTTAAGAGTAGTTGACCTGGAGTGTTGATTGGGAACATAGTTTCCAGCTGTTTCATACGTTTAGGTTAAGGCTGACTTACACAATGTGTTATTGTATGTAACCATTCTCTCTGGCATTCTCTGTGTATTTCTGTTGGGTTATCTTGTATACTTGACTGCTTTCACTAGACTGTAAACTCCTTGATACTAAGGATTGTGTTATCATAGGTCCGTAGTAGATTTTTGATAGATGGATAAATGAGTAAATGAATCCTGGCTTATGTGCATAGTACTTATTTTTTTCAACTGAATTGTGAGCCCCTTGTGGACATTGGATTTATCTGTGTAGTCTCCCGTTGTCCTTGTCATTTTATCTTTCATTATAAAATCCACCTTTTAGAAGTTATATTCTGATGTAATTGAGATACTGTATCTCTAAGCCCTCTCAAAAAAAGAGTATAGTAGGAAGCAATATCAATAAAAAGCATAGCAGGCAATATCAGTAAAAAGTAGGACTGCCATTTATTGAGGAGTTATTAAGGGCTCTAACATATATTAACTCATTTAATGCTACCAAAATCTATGAGTAAGGAGTTATTATTTGGAAAACTGAGATACAGAGTTTTAGTAACTTTCCCATGGTTTTATATAGCCAGAAAGTGGCTTGATGAAGAGAAGTACAGGAATTATTTTGGAAAGAGATTTTCAGTGACTATACATAAAAGCTCTACAGCTTTCTCACTTTGGTTCCATGACTGATTAAATGTTTATGTGAACTCCAGGTCTCTAATAAAAGAAAATAGCTGGTCCTCTGTTGGAGATAGATGCTTAAAAAACCAATTATTTCAAATGAGTATAGTGAGTCCTGGCTTCAAAGGAGGAGAGAGAGCTGTGATTAACAGGAAATGTTCTCTCTTTGGATTGCAACAAAAAAATTAAGGAATCATGCTAGTTATGTCCGTGTTCAGTGAGTTTCGTGCTGCGAACATATATTGAGTACCCACTTGACACAACATATGCTGCTGGGTGCTATGGAAAATAACAAAGCTGCTGTCCCTACATTGATAACAGGTGCTAGGAAGTCAAGCAAAAGTCTGTCTTAGAATTAATAGACATTAGTAATAGATAAAACAGGTATATAATCTCTAGTTGTGAAAAAAAGTTCCTGAGCATTTTTTTTAACTCCAGATTAAATCAACAGAATCACTGAATAAGGTATGTGCAACAGAGTAAAGTAAGAATAAAGAGTGATAGGCAGTCATCGAGGTTAGATTGGACTGTCTTTGTGATGGAATGCTCTTAACTTGCATCAGGTTTTCAGTTTGGCAGGTCTAGAAACTCCATTTTGAAAACGTTTCCAGAGTTAGATCCAGAGGCAGTGACTCTTAATTTCAGACTCCAAAGTGATAGTTGTATAAACCAGATTGACTGTTTATTCTCTTATGTGCAGTAGTCAGGTGTGCCAAAAGGACTTCCCAGCACATTCTTTCTCCTGTACGACAACATGTATGGCAGTGTTGCTTGGTGAACTCAAAGCAGGATGAGTCAGTTGGATGGATTGTATCATCAAGCTGTCTATTCCAAGAGGGCTAGATTCTCAAGACTGTTAACCAGGAAATGCCTGGTGATAAATTCTTGCTCTCTGGTTCCCACTCCTCCTAATTTTTCTAACAGACAATTAGTTTCCTCTCCCTTTCTGTTAGGAACACGCCCCCCCCCCATTCCAGATATAATCTTATTAGTTAGGATATTTTAACTTATCTTCTTAGACTGAACCTGAAAGATCATTTCTTAGGGTAAGATCAGCCAGCAGGAGAAGATAAAGTATCAGTTGATAAAATAGGCAAGGCCCATGTAGGTCTTGCTGTTTCCGGTTTATTCTTTTTTAGAAAATAAACTTTCAGTTTTTAAAATAAGAAAGCAGGGGCGCGTGGGTGGCTCAGTTGGTTAAGCGTCCAACTCTTGATTTTGGCTCAGGTCATGATCTCAGGGCTGTGAGGTCGAGTCCCACATTGGGCTCTGTGCTGGGTGTGGAGCCTGCTTAAGATTCTCTCTCCCTCTTCCTCTGCCCCTCCCCAGTGGCTTGCATGTGCTCGCGCTCTCTCTCTAAAAATAAAATAGGAAAGGATTTTCATATATCTCTTAGTTAGGCAGATGGATGGAAGTCTTAGATATTTTGGTCATTAGACCCATCATCGTGACATAAATATTTTTCTGGAGGTAAATTATCCTGATTATAGACAACATACTATAAACACTTTGTTTCTTATCATTATTTGAAGGACGAATTTTTCTGGATAGCTGAGTTTTATGTATAACTAAGGATTTATAAATTGTATTTATACTCCTTAAAGATGGCAAGTATCTTATTGGTCATTTCCTGATGGTCACTAACGGTATTGAGTCTTTTATGCTGAATGAAATTATCTGCACCAAAACCTATTTTAATTATTTTTAGTGTGTTTCTTTCTAAAATAGTCCACATTTCCCTGCTTTGCAACATATGCAAAAAAAGTATATTAAACCTCATTTGCCACTTTGGGCACTAACTTGTGGTTTTTCAGTGTTCTGCCATTAGTAACCCTCTCTCCTCCTCTGGTTTGCAGTTCCTGTTGTATTTACTAATGTGATAGCATGTTGACTTGTGTTGTTCTGAGCACGTTCTATAAGTGCCAAGGACGTGTTTGTGCCATGTTTGACTATTCAAATACAAATTGTATTTTTTTCTTATAACAGTATTCTTGATAGCTGAGTTTCAGAGAGAGAAGCATTTGCTATTTCTAGAGGGGACAAAAAAAGCCTTTCCTGGCTAGCCTTACAAATCCTGTTCATAAAGTCATGGTAAACATCACATTCTTTGATAGAATAACCATCTGTTTATAATGACTTAACAGGTACTATTCTCCTTATTTCTTGAACCAGATTCTGGAAAGATGTCAAAAGCACTTGGAAGTAAAAGCTTTTCCCACATGAAGTCTAAATCCAAAGTCTTTGAAGTTGATTCTTTTATTGCCACAAATAAGTACCTCAAAGTTTTAATCAAATTGTAAATTTATGCATAGCAAAAATTTACTATAATACTAGGTGTACTAGTCTGACTTTGTAGTTGTCTTTCTTACCCCGACATAGTTTGTATTATCCACAACTGTGATTTGAAGCCATTTACTTGCATGTCCTAAGAGCACTTACAGACCTCTGTCCTGTCTTTTCCTCTGCCTGGTTGCACAAGCTGCCTTCATTGTTTGGGGGCAACGTGTCGCCCATCAGTGCTAAGAACCGTTCAGATTACTTCATTCACTTTCTGTACAGATGTGGAACTGAGGCTCCACTTTCCTCTAAGCCCATAACCAATGTTCTCATGTATTTGCAGACTGTGTTGTCACAAAGTAAAACGTTATTTTGAGGAAATAATGCAACAGAACTGAGAAAAGTTAATTATAAATAGACTTGTCATTGGACACCATGAATTTCAAAGCCTGATAGGAAAACTAATGAATATGGAATATGTGGCTAATCTACAATCTTGTCACAAATTCCCAGGAAATATGGAAATGAAACACTGCTGTCGGTGACTTTGTCATCTAACAAAATAGATTTATTTTCTCGTATGTGGGCTGTTCATACATTAAGAACTTAATAGTGTGAGCTGTTGACGTAACTGCTGTAAGGAGAAATTTTTAAAGTCAAAGTGTTTTTTTTATTCCTACCATTGGAACAGAGTCTGCAGCCGAAGTTCTTGGGATTGGAGTTGCCACCCCAGATATCTGCATGAGTCATAGTTCTGTTTAGTAACAGTGTAGTCCGCCTGTCCTATGTGAGCAAGCTCTTCAAGTAGAGGATAAGAGGAGGAGAACTTCTGTCACGTCCTTCATATATTTAAAAGAACATATTTTCTTTTGTAGGACTTTGAAATGTGTTTAAAATGTAAATATATGTCTAAAATAAGATTGCGTGATTTGTGTTTTGATTTTTCTGGCTATTAACCATCACAGCTTCTCAGCCTAGCGATGGATTTTCTCTTAATGTAAATGAAACCAGCATGTCTAAAAACTGTCTTCTCTTTGTTGAATTGTTTCGCTTACATATTTGTGTTAGAGCTTTATAGAAAACATATAATAAGAAATTGTATTATTATGAAGTTACTGATTTTTCTGTTAAAAAAATAGTTTCATTTTACTTTTCAGAGTAATCGATGCTGTAATATGGCAGATGCATAGATTGCCTTGTTGGATTTGTGTTTGTTTATAGAAATCCAGAACCAGTAGCCCTCTTTGCCTCTTGGCAGTTTTCTGTTCATTAGTGCCTTTAATTCGTCATTTTGTTATTTATTTTTTAATGCATATTCACTGACAGTTGAATTAAAAATAAATCGTAGACTTTTAAAAGAATTATCAAAGAAAGCAAGTGTAATAGAAGGTTATATTTTAATAAAGTGAGACTCCTACAATTTTTGTGAGGTTTTGTAATTGAATAATTTTTTTGGCACAGTGTAATGTTCATTCTGTTTTTGTCAAGGTGATTTCAGCAATGTATGTGGTAATTTAAAATTCTTAGTACCCGTATGTAAACTGCTTAAATCTTTAGAATATTCTCTGAATATGATGAAAAGCCTCATAAAGTAGATATAGGATAAAGCCTTGATAACTTTGTTCCATCTGAGTATAATTTTTCCTTAATTTTCGATAGGATACAACATCTATTGAAAAGATGTCAAACTGTTGTGAAGAAATGTAAGTATAAATGTGAAGTCTGTAGTACTTTTTATTTAAAACTGGAAAGAGCGGGCCACATTTGAAAAATGTGTGCATGCAGTGGAAAGATAACATAATGATGGCTTTTACTCGGGGCCCTGTCTAAGGCCTGAGCTAGACAAGCATAATCCAGTCTTCCAGTAGGGGTCTTCAAGCCATGATAGTTTTCAAACAAAATAAGTACTGATCCTTCTTGTTCCTTGTCTAACTAAAGTAAGTTAAATTATTTGTCCCAAAAGTACATCAAAAGAGATTTGCTACTGTGTTGTTGACACACATTCTGTTAATCCCGAGATTCTCCTCTGCTTCAAAAGTTGCCCTAGGTTGATTGACGACACAGATACAATATCTGCTATCCGGAGTTAAAACTCAGCTGCATGCCATAATGAAAGAAAAGCTGTATTTGTGATGCTGGGACACAATTCATCAGAGTCCAGTAATGGATCCCCAGCCAACCTGTATTGTTTTAGCTGACTGAAGTACGCCGTGGGAGTGCTGTCTTTCACTAATAATGCTGTCTTCTGTAGATCGAGGCCCCGAAAGCCATGGCAGCAGACCTTCTCAGAAGTTTTTGGCACTCGTTGGAAGATCCTGTGGTTTATTCCTTTCAGGCAGAGGCAACCACTGCGAGTTCCCTACCACTTTGCCAATCACGTCTAAACAGATGGATGGTGGGCACAGATGGGTCCTCCATGCTGGAAATGCGTTACAGGTTTTCTGATAATAGAACTATGACAGTCTTCAAGTCAATTAAAATCCACCCACCAATCTTAGGCATCATAATGTGCCCCAGGCTTTATTTTAATAGTGATCTTGGTCTGTTGTGGGACTAATACGAGATCTATATTTAAGTTTTAAAGCATGTTTACTTTCAAATTAGCTTTCCCCAGGGATTTCTTTAAATGCTTTTGTGATTAGACCCCAAAGGCAGTGATTGAAATAAAATAATTGTACATATTTTTTTTTAGTACCGACAATGTTACAGATTTTAATTTATGGGAAATTTCAGACGTTTATTTAGATTTTTTCACTCTTAAGCAGTACTAACCAAATTTGAATTTAATTCTTCGGGTTTACAAAAGTTGATACATCTTATATTATATGTAAATTTTCTTTTTTCAAATACATCATAATTTAAATAGCAGTACTGCCTTTTATATGTGCTGCAGGATTTTCTTAATGCAGTATGGAATTGAACAACAACAAAAAACCAAAAACAACAACAGAAAAAGGGCAGTGTTTTCTTAGAAGTAGCTCTCTAATGTTTTCTGTTTTTCTCTTTGCCAAAAACAAATTAAAAACACCACTAAAATAAAACACCAACTACCTACCTTATTTTAAAGGGAAGATGAATTTTTTTCCATATTAACTTTCCCACTTCTTTTCCCTGTACTGATGTAATTGTTGGTTGTTGTTAAAGTAATTGCTCCAAGGCAGAATTTTTGACCACACGGGCATGTATTCTGTTTTACCCTAAGATTTTGATGAGCAAAAGGGTAGAGAATTTGCAATAATTCCACAGGTACCTTTTCCAGTACAGTTATATTAGAATGCATATGTTTTTAAAATGCTAGTGTACTACATAGTGTACAATGTACAATATAAGGAGGAATATTGTGCTTTTACAACACACACGTGGATATATATACTTTTTACTTTTATTTACCTACTAGTCGGTCCAAAATTACACATTGAAGGTTTATATGTAATAGATATTGGCCAACTAAATAATGAAATTTTATTTATAGGAAGTTGCTAGTAAAAGTAAGTAACCTTTGTGTACCTATAATCACCCAAATTGAAATGAAATTTTAATCGGCCAACTGTAAATTTGGATTGAGAGACCTTTTGTTAGTAGCTAATGTTAAGAAATGACCTTACAACAAGAAAACGTAATTATCTATATTTATCATTAGCTTATACAAATTTAAGTTGCAATGGGGATGGTCTCTTGGAAAGCATAGAAGATTTGTGTGAAAAGACATTTAGCATGCTTTGAAAAATTCAGCTTTTACATTTTTTTCCATTAGAATACTGCAAAATCCATATATGTTTTTAGAAAATGTATGTACTCACAGTCTTTGCCTTGAAGAGAAGATTGAAGGGGTCTGCTGTTCTTGGAGCATATCAATATTTTCCTTTTAGTTAGTTTTGAGAGTCAGGAGTCACACCTGAGAAATCATGAAACCGAACATTTCCATTGTCATCCAGTTAACTATACTGTAGTTAGTTCTTTCAGGAATTGTAAATATCTTCTAAGATAATTGAATAGCTGTTCTCAGAGATATAAATACCATGTCTTTTATGTTCTGACTGCAGTGCTTTATTAAAAATTTAGAAGTGGCAGATGAAAATATTTATTGGTGCTGATAAGATGCATAGGAAATTTAATACGAGAAGTAAGTATATTTATAGAGCTTAATGAACCACAAAATTAGTATGTTCATGTCAGGCAATTGGGTTGGGTTTTGTACAAGCTAACATATTGACCAAATTCGGTCTGGTGACAGAACTGTTATAGGGAAGTAATGTGTAGATACATAGATGGGTATCAGTCAGATGCCTTATGCTGTATACATTCCTGTCAAATGAGAACCTTGAGAGAAAGCAAAGCCAACTCTAGACCCCCCACTAAAGAGTTTTATGGACATACTTATACTTCATATAGTAGCAGTAGCTACCTTAAAGGTACACACCTGGGAGGTCCTCAGTGCCAGCCTCTGCCTCAGCAATGAGAGCCAGAGGTGGTCTCTTTCCCGCTCCAAAGGTGGTTTTTGTTTTTCCTAGATACACCACTTCTAGGCACATTTTCTTCCGTTCTTTCTCTTTACCCTCGGTCCTGATCCCGCTACTTGATTCCTCTAAGTTACTGGCATACGAACTGATACACTCGGCGAGGCATATATTTATTCTGTTTGAATGGCAGAAATGCTATATATCGATCTATTTATATAAGAATCTGTATTAAAGCATATCTCTACATATACTTACGCTGTAACTTTCAGTATTCCCAAGTTAGCACACCTAACTGGGTTTATAATTCTTGTGCCAGGACTTGAAGAAACCAACTGGCAATTTCCTAGGGAGTGCATGAAGTCTAGTTGTGTTCCGGCTGCGCCCTCTTTTGGCTAATTGGGGTAATTATACTGGCTCTAGAGATTTACTGCACCACAATTAATTGTATAGCCTAATTCTGAACATGCCAGAACTTAGGGGGAGTGTATGTACAAAAATGTAAGGGTTTATGAAAATCAGTGTGTTCCAGTTTATCATGGCAACGTCTAGTTCATATAAGTGTGATAACTAGTTTGCTTCATTTATGTATATTCTTATTTTTTTTTTTTACTCTCCATTAGAAATTTCTATCAGATCAGGATAAACAAATGTAAACCACCTCATGAATTTTATTTTAAACCTTTACTTTGGCAAATTAAGTCCTTAGAATTAGGAAAGCCATTACCTAAAATGACCAGTTTATTACAAACCACAGAAACTTATTGTAGTTACATCAGCAAGCAAGTACCTAATGTGTTTTAATGAATATAGAAAAAAATACGTTTAGTTTTTTTAATCTCAGTTTTGGAATGACTTTTGTTTTTTTGACTGATTCTACTGCGTTGAAAAAAATAAGAGATTAATAATTCTTTCTGTACTTTTCTTCATTCTTTTTTAACTCTCCCATTCAGAGTTATAGCTGTAACTTTAGTAGTCTTTGTGTTATGTATTTTGGATAGCTGTGAAAATAAGTAATGATGTTGAGCATTAGAAAATAGTTATGAGCAGTGGGATTACTGATGTGATCTGTTTGTTGGAAGAAATATTTCCTTACAAACATTCCATTTTGTTTTAAGCAAAATATATGTTAAAGGATGCTTTACATCAGCCAAGTTTGTAGTTGGGCTTCTGGAAATGAAAGATTTTTAGCTAGATGCTCTAGCTTACACCTCTCGAACAATTATATTTGTTGTTGTTCTCTTCTGCAAACAAACGTGTTTATGGGCCCAAGATTGCAGGCAAAAAGTGACTGAGTTCAGAATCCCTCAAACAGTAGGCATTCGGTTAAAGAGCTTTTGGTACTTTGTAACTAAGACATATAGTTTTAAAATATGTGAAGGTGTTCCATTATAAGAAAAATACTATTTTGCTTAAGAGTTGTATTAAAAATATTTGTGGTTAACATAAGAGATAGCTGTATTTAACATTTTAGTTAATGTATTAATCTCTTTTCACAGAGGAAAGCATAGTTTACTTTTAATAGTAATGGAATTAGAGCACATAAACATAGATAATGTTCAGTATAACAACTAAGCTAAAAGTTCTGTCAGACTGAACATCAGTGAATTTTTGTTAATGCTTAGAGGTATTTTTCTCTAAGGATGCTGGCTAGTTATAAATATTCATCATCAGGCTTTTTCAAGTCACTTCATAAAAGTAATTACTTGAAGGTGTGTTTCACCCAAAAGGATATATTATTTCTTGAGTGCTAATCATAAAGACTTAGGTTAGAATAACACTTTCAACCAGGAAATGTGAAGTAATTTAGACTATGGCCACACAATTTTCTATGTATTAGACCAGAGGGCAGTTTGAGTGTTCTCACATATGTTGCTATAAAATCAGTGTGTCCAGCCCTGGTTTACAATGGCATTCATGTTAACAGAGCTGCTAGTCTCTGCCTGGACTTTTTTCTAGTCTCTAACTATTTCCCTTGTACTTGATGTATTATCAATAGATTATCCAACTCAAGTTTACTAAACTATTGCTGCTTCATTAAATAAATTTTTGACATCACCTCTAATATATGTAGATATACCTAGAATTTATTTGGGAAAGCTTATACTTACAAGTGTTAAATAATTTACTAATAGATACAAGTATTAGATTGTTTACCCAACCTACTCTTGCTTTTGAAAATATAAGTATTGGCAAATGTAGTTAGTCATATACATTTAGTATAGTCTACTTGTTAGTGTTATTAACCATATGATTAACAGTTGAATGAGTATTATTTAATGTCCACATTTGTTACCTTTTACTCTAAGAATCATCCTCAATTTATCTATAAATCAAAAATTTCATTATGCTCTGAATTTAGCCGTTCTCAATTGAATTCTAGAATATCCTATAGTAGAATGTGAGGAAGTAATAGGAGCAACTTGCTTAAAGTAGTTTGACCCCATGTTGTTATTTTATACATCAACCAGTATTTGACATTTCTGCTGCCTTTGGGACGATGATGGCTTAATTTCAGGAAAGTGTTTTCTCTGATGTCTCCTTTCATTATCGTTGTGCAATTTTTAACAACAAAATTTACTTCATTTTTGTCTGTTCTTCAGATGTTGTAATACTTCCTTGCTAGTGCTGATTTGAAACAGAAATAACGGTGGTATTTACAGTTCTTCAGTTGTTGATATTGCCACCATTTTCCATTATCATTATATATATTTTTAATATTGTATGTCGTTTTCCCCTTGTCCACCATAGAGGGCAGGTACAAATGAGTAGTGAGTAGCCAAAATTGGATAGAGAGAGCAGGGGCATTTACAAGGGTGGAGAGGAGGCTAGACAGGACATGGATAAGCAGCATCTCAGCAACAGGGTTGATGGGCTACAGTCTCTGTGACATCAGGAAACTCCCCCTGGCTGCAGTCATTTGAGCCTTATCTCTTGTTGATACCATTTTACTGTAAGGGTTGCTACTGCACGTAAGCATTTAGTTAAGAGTCATTTTACTTATATTGCTGATTCTCATCAGTTGGCTAGATGCCTTTGAGAAGTGATTTTAAATTTTAAATATCATAATTATATAGCATAGGCTCACCTGAAGTGTTATGAGTAACGTGAAAGGTGCAGCTATTGAATGCAGAGGAGAAATGAATAGGTTGCCGAAAGTTTGAAAAGACCGGGTCCTTTTTTACAAGCCTCCTGTTGCAGAGAAAGGATACTAAGTATTCTAGTAAATTTTGTCACCAGAGGAAAAATCAGCAATTTGTGTATAGAGGATGACTTTCACTTTAAAATGTGGTCTGTTTTGGAGTTCTTGATTCCCCGAAGGTCACCTAACCTATTGGTATCATAAATACCTGTCACATGTGATGTGGTGCTCACCACAGTCATTCACCACTTGGATCTTTGTGGTATTGATAGCTTTATGTATGAACAAAGATGTGGACAAAAGAGCAACAACAAAAGGTGTGTTTCTTTTTGTGGTTTTGCTTGCCTGTTTGACTAAGTACAGGGTTTAACTGCATAGGCTGTTAACTAAAGGGCACGATGGTCTGCATGTTGCAACTCTGTGCTCTTGCCAGTGTGCATCGGGTGATCTTTTAACCTACTGGTGCCTGAAGTTAGCAGTTTACAACCTCAACAACTAAAACATCCTGGTGCTACTAACTTTAGCATTGAGTGACATTTTTAATTCCTGTACCAAAGAGTTAACTTTTTTTTTTTTTAATTTTTGGTTGACTGAGACTTCTCTCATCCTTGTGAACAGTGTTCCTAAGAACAATTTTGACGAACACATCTTTGTTTTTGCACACTGCTGCCGCCACTTAATTGGTTTTAAATGTCTCCCATTTGGAATTTTTTTTTTTATAGTTCGGCATATTAGTATGGTTTTTCGTTCTGCATTTTAATATAGATTGGCTACTTTAAGAGGTAGTTTAATAGATTGAGGTTACAAAAGATAATTGAACACTTTTCACAGGATTTTTTAATTTTGTTTTTCTTTCTGCAGGAGTCAGTGAAAACTAATAAGAACTCTCCTTTTATTTCTATAAATGAGCTATATAGCTTATTGAGCCCTTTTAATGAATGCTGAAACAAAATGCTAAAATGAAAAGTTAAGGGTCCATTCTGATTATAAGTGAAGAATCCCGTGTCCGTGTTATGTGTGAGGATGGGGGGGTATGTAACCCTTAGTGGCACTAAACAATGATGTTGCCATTTGTCTCTTTTGCAAATAAAGATAAAATTAAAGAACACCTTTAAAAATATATATGTGTATACACACACACATACACACACTTTCCCAAGAGGAAATGCAGATGTACCTTGATTTAAAAGCAAAACTACTAATAGAAAATTGAACTTCACCAAAACACACACAAAAAAGAAGTCTGGAGGTTGTTACTCACTTAACATAAAAGTTAGAATAAGATTATTTTAAAAGCTAATTCTGCTTAGTGGTTCATTTTATCAAAAAAAAGGCCGGGGGGGAGAGAAAATACCCTTTAGAAATACTTGTGATTGTCCCAATGTCCTACTGCTGTGTATACTAGTCTGGTTCCTTATTTTTTTCCACAA